GGGATGTTAAGCACAAATATTTCTAATTTTGCCCAACCGTTCCCACACAGCGCCTTATAAAGTGGTTCTAATGTTTGCTTCTTTTACCTTGAATTCTATTTCTGCTGGCTTTCATTCAATGCTAATTTGCTGATCTCCCTCTGGGCAAATTCTGAACCCTCTGCCACCTACAATCTGTGTGAGCCTGGCCCCTGTCCAGGGTCTCACTGGCCTCTCCTGGTGGATTTCTCTCTGCTTTTGACTCCAAAGATTCATATTTTCCAATATATCTGTCCATTCTTTGTATATCTCGCCCGCACGGCAGAGCCTGGCAAGCTCCCCGTGATGTATTCGATATGCCAAACAAAGTAACAACAAGTCTCATGATGGAGATGTTACTGGGTCTGCTCGAGCAAATCGACAAACAACGGGAGGGCCTTTACCTTTACCTTACCTTTGTCTGGCTGAGGATAGATACCATCCTTCAACCCCAAAGAATTTTGACTTTTTAGAGTATTATGGGATAAATGTATTGATATGTTGTTGATAAGTAAGTTTTAAAGACTGCATTATAAAAATAATTAGCTTAGGCCTACACAATTACTTTACTTTGATTTTTCTATTATTGAATGCTTCACTTTTTCTGCCTTTCCCATTTTCTCACCTATGTCAGTTGGAACTAGCACTGTTCCATTTCAGGAGCACACCAACCAGATTTGGGATGTCCCGAGAGGAAGTGGCCAAAGGCTAGAGAACCCTCTAAGAGTTCATCTACAGGAATGTTACGTGCTAGGTTTCCCGTGAGACAGACCACATGAAATATTTACTCTCTGTTTTCCTTCCTGAAAAAAATTTACCCTGCCTTTTTGGGGGTTTCGTTGCTATACCTACTGGCTTCATGCTCAGGGATCACTCCTGGCCATTTTCAGTGGACCAAATGTGGTGCTGGGTACTGAACTGAGTCAGCCACACACAAGGCCAGCACCTTAACTATTTCTCCAGCCCTAAAATTTTATTTCTGAAATGAGAGCTAACCATTTTTCACTAGATTCTGGGCTGGAGATTGAGTAGGGTGAAGTAATACGTTGATGAGCTTTAACTGGGGGAGCTCAGTCTTTGGAGATATGCTGACATTTTTTATATGCTGGGATAAGAATTATGGTAAAGGTCTAAGGATGTCCTGCAATTACAAAGGACGTATTATTACTGCATAGTAAGTGGCAGAGTCTCTGAGTCCTGGGGTATATTTGGCATCAGGGATGAAATCTGAGTAGAACAAGTCTGGCCTTCCCAGGAAGAGGGGAAATCAATACAGGAAACTTGACTTTTTTAGCACTTTTTTCTTGTAATGCATAAATGTCATGATCTTTCTGATGTTACAAGATCTTTGTATGCATGTTTTTTTGTAGATTGTGTATTCTTGGAGGAGAGAGGTCTTGGAAATCTATCCACTCTCCCCTGTCACCCCTCCCCCAGTATATTAGCCAAATAATTTGTGATAATAATAGTAATAATATGGTGATGACAGCACTGATGTGTCTGTCAATGATGATACTTAATAACAAGAACAACTTTATCCTCTTTATAGAGCATAATACATAATGCATCACTATATTGTCTATTTTTTAATGTCTATTTTTTTAAAGGACTGTTGAGATATTACAGCAGGTAAAGCTCTTATCTTGCACACGGCTGACCTGGGTTTGATCCCCAGTACTACATAAGGTCCCATGAGCCTGTCCAGGTGTGATCCCTGAGTGCAAGCCCTGAACACTGCCAGGTGTGCCCCCATCACCAAAAGAGAGAGAGAGAGAGAGAGAGAGAGAGAGAGAGAGAGAGAAATGTCTACTTAATATTTTTTTAAAAATAGTATGACTCTTATTACATAGTAAACATTCTTGATAGTAAAGATAAAATATCTGAAGCACAGAAGGCACAGAAGAGTTAAATAATTTTTCAAAGGTTATCAGAGCTAGTAAGTTACAAACCCCATCATTAAAACAAGAAAAGTCTGATCCCGGGATTTCTTCGCTTAACTGCTACACTTTCACATAGTAGTTCCTCAATAAAAATAGTTGTTGAATTTGTGCTTAACATTGAGAACATAGAAAAATAAATGTATGGTACAAAACTACAGGATATAATAGTTTACTGGAGATGGAACTATATGCCATATTCTGAAGCTGCTCCAGGCACTATAGCCACATGCCTGAGATCTTTGGTTCCATTCATGAAAGGAAGGATAGATATTTGTAAAGGAGTCTAGCTTTAAAATTCTATAGTTCAGGTTTGAAGAGATAGTGCAAGGAATAAGATGCATGCCTTGCATGTGATGACCCCACTTTGATCCTCAGTACTACTAAAAATTTATTACTTAATTTATTTTAAGTAAATAAAAAATTGTATAGCTTAAAATTGTATAGTTTCTCCCACCCATGTAGCTACTTATTTATTGAATTATGCAATGTGATTGTTGACAAGGTAATAGACCCATAGTATTCGTTCTAGGCCCCACCCATGTATTCATATAGATGCTGTCATTTTTATTCATCTCAACAAGTAATGTATAATTAAATGAAAAATATAAAGCATGGTGGTTATTAAAATATTGTTACTTTCTAAAAGCACAACTGTAGCTCAGAAGAACATTTGTTATATCACAGTCTTCTGGGGACCTTTTGGAATTAGGAAAATAAAAATACTGCATAATATCAAATGTGGACTTTTGCACCCAGTTGTCCTGTATACCAATTTCAATGCAACTTCTCTCATAGAGTTGTATACTCTGGAAATCCTTTTATTTGTTAGCCTTGCTGAAATTTATTTTTCAGTAATAAAATAAGGATAATAATATCTATACCAGAATCTTGTGAGCATGAAAAAATGACTACTATAAAGGGTATAATGACTAGCTTTCTATAGATAATGATAATTATTAAAAATTAGTCTTCAACAAAGTCAGCAAAACCCTGCATGATATTGAAGCTAATGGTGTCTTCAAAGATGTCAAGCCACTGGCTAAGCAAGTGAAAACAGAGATAGACAAATGGGACTATATTAAACTAAGAAGCTTCTGCACCTCAAAAGAAACAATGACCAAAATACAAAGACAGCCCACAGAATGGGAAAGGATATTCACCGAATACACATCCGACAAGGGGCTGATATCAAGGATATACAAAGTACTGGTTGAACTCCACAAGAAGAAAACATCCAACCCTATCAGAAAATGGGGCGACGAAATGAACAGAAACTTCATCAAAGATGAAATTCGAATGGCTAAAAGACACATGAGAAAATGCTCTACATCATTAATCATCAGGGAGATGCAGATCAAAACCACAATGAGATATCATTTCACACCACAGAGACTGGCCCACATCCAAAAGAACAAAAGCAACCGGTGCTGGTGCGGATGTGGCGAGAAAGGGACTCTCCTTCACTGCTGGTGGGAATGCCGACTGGTTCAGCCCTTCTGGAAAACAGTATGGACGATTCTCAAAAAACTAGAAATTGAGCTCCCATTTGACCCAGCAATACCACTCCTGGAAATATACCCCGGAGAGGCAAAAAAGTATAGTCGAAGCGACATCTGCAGTTGTCTGTTCATTGCAGCACTGTTTACAATAGCTAGAATCTGTAAAAAACCTGAGTGCCCAAGAACAGATGACTGGTTAAAGAAGCTTTGGTACATCTACACAATGGAATACTATGTAGCTGTCAGAAAGGATGAAGTCATGAAATTTACATACAAGTGGTACTACATGGAAAGTATCATGCTAAGTGGAATGAGTCAGAAAGAGAGGGATAGACATAGAAAGATTGCATTCATCTGGGTAACATAAAGTAACAAAATAGGAGACTAACACCCAAGAATAGCCGAGATAAGTACCAGGAGGTGTACTCCATGGCTTGGAGGTCAGCTGCACATGCTAGGGGAAAAGGCAGCTCAGATAGAGAAGGGAGCACCAAATAAAGGGTGTTGGGAGTTTCCTCTCAGGATGGGAAATGCGTGATGAGAGTAGACTATAGTCCGAACAAGATTGCCACTCAATATCTCTTTTGCAAACCACAGCACTCAAAAGGAGAGAGATAACAGAAAGGAATGCCCTGCCACAGCGGTAGGGTGGGATGGGGGCTGGGGGGAAGGGGGGTGGGAGGGATACTGGGACTGGTGGTGGTGGAGAAAGGGCACTGGTGGAGGAATGGGTATTTGATCATTGTATAACTAAAACCCAAGCACAAAAATTTTAAGTCTACAACTGTACCTCATGGTGTTTCACTAATAAAAATTTCAGGAAAAAAATTAGTCTTCATTCTTCATTGATGGCTCTCAGTCCTCAAATATGACAGTTTCAGAGTTGGTAATATCTCATCCAAGCCCTTTTTTTTTACTTCAAGTGGGAATGTGCTGAACTGGACACTCTAAGAATAATAGATAAATAAAATGTAGTCTCTATCATCAGGGATCTTAAAATCAATATAAGGGCATTATTATTTAAATGGTAATATGTATTAGAACAAGATAATGAGAAAGGTGCCAATGATAAAGAGACTGTCAGACAATTCATAGTAGAAGAAATACAACTTAAAGATGTTAGAAGAAGGATTTATTATGTAAATAATGGTAGTGTAAACCACATAATGAAGTAATAACTTATAGTGGTATGCACATATAATGCTTTGTTGGGCACATTGGCTACCCTAGTCATTCCTCTTATTGCAAATTCATATGTGAGTTAAAAGATTCCATCGTCGCCCAATCCTTATGAATTATATTAAAATGTATCTCTTAAACTTATATTTTATTCTATCTTACAATGTAATTTTATAGCCTGAAATCTAACTTAACTGATTATTGCTTTCCATAATTCACTGAAGGTTTGATGCAAGCTATTTAACGCTCCATCTTCCAATATATATTTTAAAGGATCACAAGTTATTAAAAAATGTTTAAGCTGCTGTTCTTTTTTCATTAGACAGTGCTATAACTTGATATTTCTTACACATTCCTTTCCCAGATTTTTATTGGTGAGATATCCATGTATTTCATAAAATCAACCAGAGAATCTCTGATTGCCCAGGAGAAAACAATTCTGACTGGAGAATGCTGTTATCTGAATCCTTTGCTTCGAAGAATCATAAGATTCATAGGTAAGTACAGGACCATGCTTAACTGTGCCCAGAATTTTAGGAATATCTAACTATATATGAACACATTTAGTAAAAACTAAACTGTCAATCAAAAAATTGCTTCAGAAATTTTACAGAAAGGGATATAAATTGAATCTGGTGCCAAGGCAGATTTTCATTCGCTAAGTAAAACCATCAAATATCAAATATTTCCTCACATATATTTAATTTTGACTTGATATTGTCATACACCCTTTAGCTGAGTCAGACAAAGGTGGATGCAGATCGACACCTCAATAAAATGAATTTTACAATAACCAAATTTTCAGATCGAGATTTCCCTAGAACTCATCAAATTATGGGAATCCTTATACATTAGGTTCTTGGAAACAATACCTTTACAAATTTGGAAAGCAAATACTTTTATTAATATTCTTGATAAGAAATGATCAAGGCATAACCTCTCCTTCTAGGACTTTCATTAAAACCTCTTAGATAATATACATAATGACTGAGAATGAATGGCTGTAGGTAAGAATATTGATCTTATAGATTTCCCAGATGGAATGTAGTCAATAAATAAATATTATTCTGTTGCTCTTCATGGGAACTGGGTAAGCACCCAAAATGTAAACATAATAAGAGTATTTAAAAACTGCCCAACAACGGGGGAAGCAAAGATCAGAATAATCATGCTCTCAACCCTTTTGTTGTCTTAGTTTTTTAGCCTGTCCCTTTGTACCCAAAGAAAAATGCTGAATTTCCTCAAATTTCCTGCTGATTGCCTATTGTAATACACTGGATTCCCACCTGAGTCACAGAATTGAGTGAATGCTTGTCTCACTATTTTTTTAATTTTATTGAATCACTGTGAGATAGTTACAAACTTTCATATTTGGTTTACAATCACACAATGATCAAACACCCATCCTTCCATAGTGCACATCCCCCACCACCAATATCCCCGGTATACCCCCCTTCCCACCCTCCTCCTGCTTCCATGGCAGACATGATTCCCCATACTCTCTCTCTACTTTGGGGCATTATGGTTTGCAATACAAACCCTGAGAGGTTACCATGTTTGGTCCTTTATCTACTTTCTGCACACATCTCCCATCCCAACCAATTCCTCCAGTCATCTTTTTCTTAGTGATCCCTTCTCTATTTTAGCTGCCTTCTCCCCTTTGCTCATGAAGCCATGAAGCAGGCTTCCAGTTATGGAGCAATCTATCTGTCCCGTGTATCTACTATCCTTAGGTGTCAGCCTCATGTTATGTTGTTTTATACTCCACAAATGAGTGCAGTCATTCTATGTCTGTCCCTCTCTTTCTGACTCATTTCACTTAGCATGATACTCTCCATGTCTATCCATTTATAAGCAAAGTTCATGACTTCATCTCTCCTGACAGCTGCATAGTATTCCGTTGTGTAGATATACCAAAGTTTCTTTAACCAGTCATCTGTTCTAGGGCACTTGGATTGTTTCCAGATTTTGGCTATTGTGAACAGTGCTGCAATGAACATATGGGTACAGATGTCATTTCTACTGTGCTTTTTTGCTTCCTCAGGATATATTCCCAGAAGTGGTATTTCAGGGTCATATGAAAGCTCAATTTCTAGTTTTTGAAGGACTGTCCATATTGTTTTCCAGAAAGGCTGGACTAGTGGGCATTCCCACCAATCGTAAAAAAGTGTTCCTTTTTCCCCACATCCACGCCAGCACTGGTTGCTTTTGTTCTTTTGAATGTGTGCCAGTCTTTGGGCTGTGAGATGATATCTCATTGTTGTTTTGATTTGCATGTCCCTGATGGCTAGCGATGTGGAGCATTTTTTCATGTGCCTTTTGGCCATTTGTATTTCTTTTTGAGGAAACTTCTTTTCATTTCTTCTCCCCATTTTTGATGGGGTTGGAGGTTTTTTTCTTGTACAATTTTACTAGTGTCTTGTATATCCTGGATATTAATCCCTTAACAGATGGGTATTGGGTAAATATTCTTTCCCATTCTGTAGGCTCTTTCTGAACTTTGGTCACTGTTTCTTTTGAAGTGCAGAAGCTTCTTAGTTTGATGTAGTCCCATTTGTTTATGTTTGCTTCCACTTGCATGTTCAGTGCTATTTCATCCTTAAAGATGCTTTTAGCTTCAATGTCATGGAGAGGAAGACCACTATTAATGCAGAAATTTCTCACCCAGAAGGAGCATCAAAATCTTCTCTTTGTAATCAATGTCACTTTTGTCCCTTTGGATCCATCATATAAGCTAACAGAAATCAAGATTCTGAGAGCATAAGCCAGTGATCATCAAATTAGATGAGCTCAAGTTGAACAGCCTAAGATACTAATCACAGGGAAGAGATCCTAGACTAGGGAGACAGCCAGCAGGAAACATGTAAGCCACAGAGAAGTTCAAGAAATTAAAAAGGGAAGAAAGATTGCTGGACATACTTTATGCTTTCTTTGCCCCAGATATGTGCCCAATTGCTAAAATCAAAAACCTGGAGGCCACCCTAAGCCATCCAGGAACTTGTTAAAAATGTAAATTCTAGGCCTTATCCTATGTCTACTGAATTATGAAGCCTCATAATCTGTTTTGTAACAAGCCATGCTAGTAATTCTAAACCAGCTAGTAATTCTAAACCATGCTAATGTTTGTTAACCACAAGTTTAGATTGTTAAAATTTCTTGCCTTTTATTTTATTAGCGAATCACCGTGGGGTACAGTTACAAATTTATGAACTTTTGTGTTTGCATTACAGTCATACAATGATCTTTTACCCATCCTTCCACCAGTGCCCATTCTCCCCCACCAGTGTTCTCAGAATCCCTCCCATCACCCCCACCCCATTCCCTACCACCCCACCCTGCCTCTGTGGCAGGGCATTCCCTTTTATTCTCTCTCCTTTTGGGTGTTGTGGTTTGCAATAGAGGTATTAAGCAGCCATCGTGTTCGGTCTATAGTCTATTTTTGGCACACATCTTTCAACCCAAATGGGTCCTCCCAACATCCTTTACTTGGTGTTCCCTTCTCTGTCTGAGCTTCCTTTTCCCCTAGCATGTGATACTGCTTTCCAAGCTGTGGAGCAGACCTTCTGATCCTCATCTCTACTTGCCTCTTTTGGACTGGAGAGGTAGTACAGTGGTAGGGTACTTGCCTTGCATGCAGCTGACCAGGTTCAATTCGAGGCACTCCAGATGGTCCCCAGGACTGCCTGGAGTGTTGTCTGAGTGCAGAGACATGAATATATACTGAGTACTCTGTATGTGGTCTCAAAAATAATTTCCTTGCACCTTTAGAAGGCACCTTTTAATCTTATTTTCCAACTTGGCTTCATTCACCTAAACCCCACATTAATACTATCCACTGACCTGTTTTTGTTGGTTTCTATTTTTATTTTGGGTTCACACCCAGTGGTGCTCAGGGCTTAGTCCTGGCTTAATGCTCAGGGATTATTCCTGGTGGGGCTCAGGGGACCATATGTGCCAATGATTAAACCTGGGTCATTCATGTGCAATGTATGTGCCCTATATATGCTTTACTATCACTCTGACTTGCCCTGCCCTCTCCAACTGACAATTTTATGAAAGACTCAGTAGGGGAAACAATAGGGGGACTTTTTGGGTCACACCCAAAATGCTCAGGGGTTACTCATGGCTCTGCACTCAGGAATCACTCCTGGTGGTGCTCGGGGGACAATACGGGATGCCAAAGATTAAACTCAGGTCAGCCACAAGCAAGGCAAACGCCCTACCTGCTTTTCTATCGCTCAAACCTCATAGAGCAAAAATTTGATTAAGTAGTTTACTTAAAATTTTTCAATGCATTTCTATTGTTAGACTGTGATGTCTTATATTGGTTCCTGTTTATATGGGATCGAGGGAAGGAGGAAGGAAGGAAGGAAGGAAGGAAGGAAGGAAGGAAGGAAGGAAGGAAGGAAGGAAGGATGAGCAAAAAAGTAAGTTTCTTTTGATCACACCCCCATCCACCACAAAGGGAAAGCTGGCCAAATCTTGCTTGTTCTTCAGAATGCTTTACACATTACCACATTATAAATCCAGAGAGCTACCTCTTTTTCCAGGACCCCACTCAGCCTTCTGCCTTTTCTAAACAGTTATCATATTATTGTAATTACTTGTCTGCTAGTCCTTTCGTTTGTGAGCCCTTGGAAAGCAATCACTGTACAATTTTTATTTTGTATTAGCTATGTAGTCCCAAACACATGGCACATGGTAGTGTTTTTAATATGAATTTTTTAAATGAGTAAAGAAACATGAATGAATTCTGTTAAATCACAAATTTGTCTGAACTACTTTCATAAATGCTGACTCTTAAATATTCATTTGCATCCTGTTTAATTAATTTTATTACCAGCCTTTCACTTGTCCTAGGAAATTAAAGTGCATTAAGGAAGAAGAGGTCAGAGTAGTGGAAGGTGGAAGAAAAGCCTTTTTATCTTGGTTTTTTCAGAGTATTCAAATTAAATGTTTTTCACAAGAAATATGCTGCTTGAAATAAAGGACCTTTAAATAGAGATTTTTTTCCTTTAAAATTAAGTGAAATGATTAGGAATCAAAATATATTAGAAATATTATTGCAATGAGTTTAACAGTCTTTTTTCTAGTCCAACAACCACTAAAATAATACTATGCAACTAGCAGTAGAAAATTGCAGCTGTTTTAGCTAACTATTCTAATTAAATTGAAATGGCATGACCTTTATACTGCATTTTATGATCATCTTAGAATCCGTTATAAAAAGTGTTTTTGCAACAAATGTAATTGGCTTCATGTTGCAAAAATGTCTTATGAATGAGTTGGAGGGGTTGTGAGTTTTAAGAAAAGAAAGCAGTATTCTGTCAAGGATCAGAAAGAGACGTGGACTTCTAGTACATTTCTGGTGAGGCTAAGTTGATAAACATGTTTTGAAATTCGGTGGTATATTTCATTTGCCTTAAAGCTAATTGTCAGTTTTGGGCCAGAGCAATAGTACAGTGGATAAGGTGTCTTGCAAGCAGCCAACTTGGGT